AGTAACAAGAAGCTACTAGGAACAAGTGCCTTACTAGTAGTAACAAGTGCTTTACCCCAAAGCAAAAAGATTGGTCAGCAATTCAAGGTGCTCCCAATCACACAGCTCTACACGTCTGCACCGTCTCAAGTTCGGATACAGTTGTGGATCCAACAAATCCAACGCTTTTCACACTGGAAGCTGTGCAATGGTTTTGGGCTGTGTCCTTTTTCGAGGCGCCTTCATCCCTTTGAGCGACTCAGTGTAGAGCTGGCCTTGACACACCATTGGAACAAGGCACGTGTCTCCATTGATTTGTGAAAAGCTCTGATCCTCACCCTTCTTTGCAATGGAAGAAAAACAAACACATGTGGGCTTACAGAGCCTTGAGGACTACCCTAGACCAGTCCTTTTTCCCCAGAGTCAACCAGGCTACATCAGAATTCAAGTTTACTAGCATTCTTCGAGACTAGCATTCTTCGAACAAAGCACAAAAAAACACAGCTCAGTGCAATCACTTTTTGAAAGTTTCTATCCTAAAATAGTTCGTGCTGCTGCCAAGCTCCAACCATCTTAATGAAAGTGTGACTCCCTCACTTGAGATTCCTGTCCAAATGTGCCCAGTCTTTGAAGGTGCATGTTCAGGGAACCCATGACTCCAAAGCCGCACTGGGTGTTTGTTTGCCGCACTGGGTGTTTTCATCTGCTTCTCTTGTGATCGCAGACTGGAGTGGCCTTCGGCCATGCCTTGGCTTGTTTGGGCCTCAGAAGCTCACGGGGAGGTTGAAGGTCTCCAACCTAATAGGAATGATCTCCAACCTAGTTTCTTGTTCCTAGTAAGGCCAGGAGCCCCTAGGGGCGATGGAAGAAACCAAAGACAGTTGTTCTGATGTTTCCGTTTGGCGGTCAAAAAGGCCGGTCGCATCATGTTGGTCTTTGTAAAGTGCAAGATCTATGTACTAGAGTGCACGTGCTATGAATTGGTCCAACAGTGTTTGCCGTCAAATGGCTGAGTTACTCCCTGCAGACAGTTAGATAGAGTTCTGCAAGTTAATTGAAAGCTTTTTGGGGTGGGGTGTTCAATCTAGACATTCGCGGTATAGCAGAATCCCTTCCCGTGTGCTGAGCTGCACCCGCACTGCTGGTGACACCTGTAGGTCTGAAGGAGCTTCGTTTGCAGATCCATGAGATCGGCACGCACCGGGCTAACGCCTGCATGGTGGCTGATGTCCTCAGCAAAACGACAGGGAGGGCGCAAAGGCTTGGCATGTTGTTGTGGTTTGGTGATAATTGTTCTTTGGAAGGATGTTCGCAGCTATGTAACAGTACAGAGAGAAAAAACAGTGTTGATTGGAACTGCAGGAATTTAGCCCCCAGTTCCTTGTCACACCTCTCCTTCTTTTTGATTGACAGTTGGCGAAAAGTTGGGCTTTGCAGCTGCAATCCTGAGGCCGAGCGTGGCCGATTGGCCACCTTCATTGCTGATGAGGGCATTGAGGACGCGAAATGCATAGCTGCTTAGTCGTGATAAGGGCCAATCTCGGGAAAGAGCTACTCACAAATCTGTGTCAGACACGGGTATGGACCCGTAAGGAAAGCAATTTGGGATTTGTGGAGGTTGCATATGTCAAACACAATTGCTGGATGATATTTGTGTGTGAGCGGCTTATACTTACAAAAGTGTTCTCAAATCTGATAAAGACATCAATCATGCGATGTGTTCTTTTGCATCCCTGTTGCCTAGCAGCGGACTTCTGGCTACTAGAAGCGTATCTAGCCTGAAATCTTCTTGCCTGTTCTTTTGGCTTTTGGCAGGAAATCTTCGATCTGGTGACGGATTGGGAACCAGTCTTCCAGCAGTTCATCGGTTGCCAACGGGTGCGACCAGCCTGGTGAGCTTTCTGTTTGCCATGCTGTGAAGCAAAGTAAGCTGCAACCGCCCTTTACCAACTTGTCTTTCTGTTCAGTGACCCTCTGCTTTAAACCTTTCGTTCTTGTTCCCGAATGCGTAGCGAAGGGTTCTCGTTTAACTCTTGGGGGTCTGGGGGTAGAGCCTTGTTCGCGACCCGTTGCTTCTATGTTCGCAACCGTCCGCAACCGTTCGCAGTAGGACGCTAAGGCGCTGCCATTGGGGGAAGCTTTTGCAAGTGACTTTTCATGGATGTGTCACGTGTCAGTTTGCGCCGCTATTCCATTGTGATTTGCATGAAAATGAGATGTCGCGCAAGAAACGTGATGCGTTTCGCTGCACAGGCGCAGCGTTTGGTGAGATCTGCAGATTGCTGCGCAGTTCCATTGGGATTAGCGTTTGGAGAATCGTGTTTTTGGGGTGTTGGATGTGGCCGTGCCATTAGGATTTGCGTTTCAGGGCGTGGCATCGAAGCTCTGTTTTCGTGACAAGTCTCAGCTGAAATGCCGATTTTGGTGGGGGGGAGTGTGCTCAGAACGGGTCGAAATCATTCCAAACGTGTGGTGTGGTGCAAATTTTGTTGAAGCTCGCATGAGATGACATTGTTACTTTTCGTGGCAGGCGCAGGACTTTGTGCAGGTTTTGAGGTGTGGAAGTGGGATTTTAGTGGCAGGCGCAGGGAATCGTGAGGTTGCGATGTGTGACGGAGGTGACATTTCGTGGCAGGCACAGTACTTTGTGCGCGTTAGACGTGTGGACGCGGAAAGATTCGTGGCAGGCGCAGGGAATCGGGAGGTTGTGAGTTGTGGTAGGGGTGAATGTCGCTGTCGCATTGGGAATGGCGTGTGAGCGGGTGTCGTTTGGAGGGGCTGGACTCGCGAAACTGCTTGGCAGGGCTGCGTGATGTGTGTGCTCCGATGGGTGTTTCCGCTGGACTTTTGGAGGAAGTCTCGTGCGAAACGTTTGAGGAAGTCTCGTACGAAACGCTCGTTTTGGGGGCTTGACATGTGACTTTTGGAGGAAGTCTCGTAAGAAACGCTCGTTTTTGAGACTTGACGCGTGACTTTAGGAGGAAGTCTCGTACGAAACGCTCGTCTTGCAGCCTCGCAGCGTGACTTTTGGAGGAAGTCTCGTACGAAGAGTGTGCCCTACAGGAGGGTCCCACAACCGTGTCCTACAAGAGTGTCCCACAAGAGTGTCCTACAAGAGTATCCCACAAGAGTTTCCTACAAGAGTGTCCCACAAGAGTGTCCCACAAGAGTGTCCCACAAGAGTGTCCCACAAGAGTGTCCCACAAGAGTGTCCCACAAGAGTGTCCCACAAGCGTATCCCACAAGACAAGTGTCCCACAAGAGTGTCCCCCACAAGAGTGTCCTGCATGTCCCACAAGAGTGTCCTACGAGAGTGTCCCACAAGAGTGTCCCGTATGAGTGTCCCACAAGTGTGTCCCACAAGAGTGTCCGACAAGAGTGTCCCAAAAGAGTGACCCACAAGAGTGTCCTACAAGAGTGTGCAACAAGAGTGTCCCGTAAGAGTGTCCCACAAGAGTGTCCTACAAGAGTGTCCCACAAGAATGTCCTACAAGAGTGTCCCGTAAGAGTGTCTCACAAGTGTGTCCCACAAGAGTGTCCCAAATGAGTGTCCCACAAGAGTGTCCCACAAGAGTGTCCCGCAAGAGTGTCTCACAAGAGTGTCCCACAAGAGTGTCCCACAAGAGTGTCCTGCAAGAGTGTCCCACAAGAGTGTC